GACTCGTAATTCTCTGTGAAACATCGATGTCATCCTTATCAGTGATTGTAGCGGCCTAGCAAATATTCACTGCGGATCAGTGTGGTCTTCCAGATCCAAGTGTAGTAAAGACAAGTAAAACGAAATTTTGAACTATAAAAACGAAACGAAATAGGATCTGTATTTTAACCAGATTGAGGACGAACCCTATAGATATTCTGCGTTCCATGACCTTCTGTTCCATAGTTACCCCCTTTCCCAGAAACCTTGTAAACATAATAGAGACAAGAGTTCGAGACATTGGGACAATAAGAGCATGAAATCTATCGATTTTCCTATATTTTTGTCCATATCTTGCAAAATGTGGGCGTCATTTTCATAACAATCGCTTGTCTCAATTAAATAACAAATTAAACAATCTATTAATATTTAAAATAATATATTCATATATGATATTATATACACACATTCAAATTTCATGCACAATTCATTTAAAGCTATGTATATATGAGAAAAAATTAAAAGTATTTATTTGTCACGATTCTCAGTCTTGGGGAGTAGAAGGGAACAAGACAAGACATGTTAAAATATGTCAGAAGTGTCGAATCAGTTGAGTTTGATGTGTAGATCTGGTCAGTGAGTCAAGTATCTGAATCTGCCTGCATTTAAAATTTTGGGTCCACAGATAGATAAGAGTTATTGTTGAGATATTTATGTTCAACTGTCGACAGTTTAAATATTAGGTCCACAGGTAGAAGCATTATTGCGATTATCTGATTATATGTTCTACTGTCGACAGTTTAAGACAGCATCAAAACTAACACAAACTGATTTATGCTTAATACAGTATTTCAAAATTTAAATATTGTATAGATTTTATCCCATCACCAATCCAAATAACACATTAGATCATCAGAATCCAACATTGTTTCCATTTAAAAATGCATTGTGTAAGAATTAGATAAAGACCTGGCCATTCTAGCTAGAATAGTTCAAAAAAGATAATGAAAAATGAATTTATTAAAAATGTATTCAAATTACTTTATTATAAGCAAAGTTGTCTGTGTTTGAAGTTGTAGCAAAGACTAAGCCTTGATTCCCCATTTTTAAATTATATTATTAAATGTCAATCATGTTTAATTCTAGGCTATCAGATGTTCTAGAGAGCTGATTATAGGCTTGTCATGTGATATAACATTTGAAGCCAAAAGAATGGCCTACATAATGCATCTTTAAATTAAACAGGCTTTTACTCCTGTACGTAATACTATTTGAGGTGTCCAAAATTCTTTCTGAAGTCTGATATTATTGTTTGTTAGAAAATATCCAAAGTTGGGCTTACTTTGTCTTATCAGGATACCCAGTTCATGATAAAATGCATAATAGGTATATAATCATTGTTTATTTGCCATTATCTTCAAACAAACAGGAAGCAAATTTAAATTCATGAGTTAAAATGGTTGCCGCATTGTTGGTAACAAAGAAGTTCTTTGTACTGTATTAATTAGTGTTCGGCACGAATATTCGAATATTCGCTCGTCGAATATAATATTCGAATATTCGAATAGCAATTACCATATTCGAATATTTTCGAATATCTATTATTTATTCTATTTGCTCTCAAATATTATTAAAGGCGACTTCCCTTGCCGCATTTACATTCAAAGCTTAATTAGATTACCTAACCGCAGCTTGTAAGGGTGCTACCCCTACATAGATCTACCGTCTTCAAGAGACAGTTATTCTATAAGTAGCATGTTACCTACTTTGGTTAGCCAGTTAGTTCCGCGATGGAGTTGGATGTCTTGACCATAGAGGTTTATATATTGACAATATATACACCTCCATGGTCTTGACTAATATCACATCAAGGCTAATTTTTGGAACCACTTGAAGTTGAAACATGGCTACGTAGCTCCCGATACTTGCTCAGCCAATTAAAAAGTTCTTCAGGCAACAGCAAGTAAGATTCAGCGCAGCGAAAAACACCACTGAGAAACTGATCATGTTTGTAGCCAAGCATTATCAGCCCCTCTCTCTCTTATTGACAATGACCATTTTCGGGAATTGGTAGAAGCCCTGAATCCATCCCACAATTTGCCGTCAAGTAAAACACTCAAAAAAAAGAAGAAATCTATGATGCCGTTCGTTCCGACGAACGTCAAATCAGGAATGACCCAAGTCAGAAGTTAGCCGCTGTGACCACAGATGTATGGACATTAGATGAACAAAATGAGTCTTGCATTAATTTAACCGGTCATTTTGTATCACCAGATTGGGAGATGGTGGCTAAGACTCTGGAAGTGAAATCATAACATCTGACGGAGATGGCAGATGACTGGAGTGTGGTTGAGGTCCGCGTCTATTTGTTGCGATGCCATGGACGACCGAGGTCTTGTGTACAGATTGGCAGTTTACGTAAAAGATACACTGTCAATTGCTAAAATATAATCTTGTGTATTGTTCACATGTCACCAGAAATTTCACGTATTTCATAATTAATTAGAAATTATAATAACCACTTTAAATATATTTATATTAAGATTTGAAAATATTCGAATAGTATTTTCGAATACAAATTTCAAGACCCGTCGAATATTCGAATAGTATTCTTGTTCGAATATCCGAACACTAGTATTAATATGGTCGTAAATTGTTGTCGCCCATAATTATAACCCGACTGGCTTGAAGTGTATACACAGTGCTTATATTCAGGAGACAAATAGAACTCATTTGATTTTCTGTGTCATTGCCCATGATCACTCGAAAAAAAATCTTGTTGAAAGTCTAGCTGCTAAAGTTATAATCCAATTTGCTTATGTACATGCGATAGGGCCTACTGATTTTCAACAATTTCGGATAATTGCTGTCAAAGAGTGGTTACGGTTGATCACTTTGAAAAATCTCGTTGATCTAGCAACTAAGGTAGAGCTAAGAATCCTTAAGCAGTGGACACATTAGCCGAATCATTCGGCCGAATCGTTCGGCCGAACCAATCGGCGCCGAATTTTATTCGGCCGAATGGGTGGACACACTAGCCGAATGCTTCGCCCGATTCCACCTGTCGATTGCATCACCTTTCACGTCACATGATTAAACATGGCGGCGTCTATGTCTTCAATCTATCTCGTGACTTCTCGATATGAGTGGTGATTGGCTAATGAATTCTATATTCGGCCCAATGCTTCGGCGAAGCGGACACACCAGGCGAATATAATTCGGCCGAATATATCAAACATGTTTGATTCGGGCGAATCATTCGGCCGAATGACAGTGGACACACTAGGCGAATTTCGACGCCGATTGATTCGGCCGAACGATTCGGCCGAATCATTCGGCTAGTGTGTCCACCGCTTAACGACTTGAAGTTAATGCTTATGGGACAAAGATTTCAATTATGTTTGCTAACTACTTTGAGAGTTATTTTCCTTGATTTCTCAGAAAAACAAATCCTAAATTTTTAATTGATGTCGATGTTCCCCAGGAAAGCTATATTAATGACGATTTCTGATAATTACTTCCATGGTTATTACCCTTGTTTACTTTTAAAAATTGTGGTTATTCTAGTGGCTAAAATTACCATGATCTGATTGACATGTATTTTACATTTGTTGTTGATGTTAGTGCTAGGAAGAAACTTGTCAACTTATAACAATATCCGATAATTACATAATCACTTATTAGTGTCTAGCAAATCCTGTAGATCAATAAAAGAAAAACTCTGAAAGTAATTATCAGATATTGAAAATCTACAGGATTCCTGCTTCTAATGAACTTACACATTATATAATTTTCTACGTGAACTGCGCCTCAAGAGCATCCATGTCCACAAGCTCAAGACTTCTTTCAAGTTCTTTCTTTCGTTCATAAACAAAAACGCATATAGATCAATTATATGATCACATTAGCTTCTAACGCATCCCCAACGGATATAATGCGTAAAGCAACTGTGGGAAATCTTTGAAAAGCAATCAACCTCTTCAGAAGATAAACAATGTTTATAATTTTCAAGTCAACCGGATGATAACAGTAGAGCAGGGGTTCCCACAACTTATTCTGAACTATCAGCAGTGATCCGGCGGGCGCCGTCGCGGGGGTATGAGGACCCTCCCCCAGAATGTTTTCAAAAATTGATTTACCCGAAACGAGTTTTACGAGCATTTCAGAAGAAGAAACTTACTCGTCGAATTCACAAACAGGTATTGAAACTCAAAATAAGTCGCGAGCCCATGGCAATTTAGCGACCGTGGTGAAAGTATCAGTGACCCCATTTGGTTTCGTAACCCTACAAATGGGAACCCCGGCCCTAGAGGTTGATATTTGGTTGTTATTTATAGAAAACAATATTTTTTGGTATTCGGTTAAGATATCCGAAAGGGATTGGGAAAATCGACTTAACCTATGTTGTAAAACCACTCTCCCTAAGAGTGTCTATAACAGTGGTGTGTATAGAGGGGGCGACGTCCCAGAGCATCCATTTAAGGGGGTATACGGTGCCATAAATGTATAAACACTTTATATATTGCGATTATATATTGCAAACTTCATCTTTCTTGAGCTGCGATACATTTGACCTAACCGATACATTTGACCTAAACGCTAATCAATCAGCGATTTGATCGGGCAGGGTCAGCATTGATTTCTTTCTCTTTATTGTGGGGAGGGGGCGGGGCTTGGAATTGAACAGTACATTGATGATGGTTAGACGGGCGCTATGGTATGTACCTAGTTGTATGGTTGAAAAATAATCTATTAATGAGATTGATGTATAAGCTACTCGTAAGTATCCCCCGTTATTTTAAATTATCTATAGAAATATATCCCTGATTGACTGACCATAAAAACTATGAAAAATATTAACACAAATATAATATCTATAATTTATTTATAGAACAACAATTTTTTTTATGAAATAAATACATGTATTTACAAATTTGTTTTATGTACATTTAGAGTCAATACTCTATTCAGTCTCTTTCTACAGCTTCCTCAGTACCTTCTGTATCTTTATCTTTAAAAAATTAATGTTTCTCATTTCTTTTCCCGTGCCCCCACCCCCCTCCTTCCCTCGGTTTATTTCTCAATCTGCTTGTTTTTTTAGCACAGCCACAAGTACACAATTTTCTAAGCCGTTTTCCCACTCTGATAAAAAATTTACGGAAATTGCTTTTATTTTTCTCTTTTTTGCCTTCTACAGATTTTGCTCCATAATTCTTCCCCTCCTCTAATTCCATTACTATTTCCGATTCTTCTATATCTCCCTTATCCATTCCCCTATCTTCCTTTTCTTTGGTTTGTGTTTTTATTTCCATCACATCGATTTCTTCTCTAAGTGCATTTATTTGTGTGTCTTGATTTTCCGTTTCTCTGTTGTTTTCTTCTTTACATTCTGTTTCTTCATCTTTTGCTTCTTTATATTCTGTTTCTACATCTTTTGCTTCTTTATACTCTGTCTCAACATCTTTTGTTTCTTTATAGCCTGTTTCTACATCTTGTGCTTCTTTATATTCTGTTTCTGCATCTTTTACTTCTTTATATTCTGTCTCTACATCTTGTACTTCTGTATACTCTGTATCTACATCTTTTACGTCTTTATACTCTGTCTCTACATCTTTTGCTTCTTTATACTCTGTTTCTACATCTTGTACTTCTTTATACTCTGTCTCTACATCTTTTACGTCTTTATACTCTGTCTCTACATCCTTTGCTTCTTTATACTCTGTTTCTACATCTTGTACGTCTTTATACTCTGGTTCTACATCTTTTACTTCTTTATACTCTGTTTCTACATCTTTTATTTCTTTAAATTCAGTTTCTACATCTTTTACTTCTTTATACTCTGTGTATATATTTTTTACTTCTTTATATTCTGTCTCTACATCTTTTACCTCTTTAAATTCGGCTTCTACATCATGTACTTCTTTATATTCTGTCTCTACATCTTTTACCTCTTTAAATTCGGCTTCTACATCATGTACTTCTTTATATTCTGTCTCTACATCTTTTACCTCTTTAAATTCGGCTTCTACATCATGTACTTCTTTATATTCTGTTTCTACATCTTTTACTTCTTTATATTCTGCCTCTACATATTGTACTTCTTTATATTCTGTCTCTACATCTTGTACTTCTTTATACTCTGTTTCTATGTATTTTACTTCTTTATACTCTGTTTCTATGTATTTTACTTCTTTACATTCTGTTTCAATATATATTACTTCTTTATATTCTGTATCTACATCTTTATACTTTGTTTCTATGTATTTTACTTCTTTATATTCTATTTCTATATATTTTACTTCTTTGTACACTGTTTCTATGTATTTTACTTCTTTATATTCTGTTTCTATGTATTTTACTTCTTTGTACACGGTTTCTATGTATTTTACTTCTTTATATTCTGTTTCTATATCTATTACTTCTTTATATTCTGTTTCTATGTATTTTACTTCTGTATTTTCTGTTTCTATGTATTTTACTTCTGTATTTTCTGTTTCTATGTAGTTTACTTCTGTATTTTCTGTGTCTATACATTTTACTTCTGTAATTTCTGTGTCTATATATTTTACTTCTGTATTTTCTGTGTCTACACATTTTACTTCGGTATTTTCTGTGTCTATATATTTTGCTTCTGTATTTTCTGTGTCTATACATTTAACTTCTGTATTTTCTGTATCTATATATTTTACTTCTGTATTTTCTGTGTCTATACATTTGACTTCTGTATTTTCTGTTTCTATATACTTGACTTCTGTATTTTCTGTGTCTATATATTTTACTTCTGTATTTTCTGTGTCTATATATTTAACTTCTGTACATTCTGTTTCTATATTTTTTTCTCCTTTATACTCTGGTGCAGGTACATTCTTCGTTTTCGGATGCGGTCCAAACATATTTGTACGAACTGTGTCAGTGTGTATCTTTATTCTGACCTCTGGTCTTACCAACAAATAGGGTTTGATATTCTCTGGTGGCGAAGTGCTGTTTCTATACAGGTTCATCAGAACATATGGGTTGACTGAAAAATTAGAATAAAGATATGTAGATCAAAACAGGTGGTTAAAAATTAAATTCTGTTCCATCATATTTTTTATGTTTTAACATGGAATTCGAACTGTCATGGGATCTTTTACGTGCAATCCAATGTGTACAAGGGTATCTCGGTTTTCCTCCCATCCGAACGGCTATACGTTGTTCCTTACCGGGTTATCGTGTACCATATATGTAAACAATTTCCGCATCACTATCACCTGTTAACAGGCCGTTGGAACACAACCCCGTGTCTCTGTTCGGTTATGGGCTGAGTCGTCTAATGTGGAAAGCTGTGGGGTTGGGGATATAAGAAGCATACCCGCCCTGGCCGTACATGATACCCATATCTACGTGTGGTTACTTACTTTTCTTTTGATTTTTTGTTGATTTGCAGCCGCCTGGAATGACACCTAATAATACAAATTTTCTGTTTTTCTGATTTTGTGCATTTTTCTTGTGTATTTCAAATATCTTGCCATGTTTCAGGCAAAATGCTCTCCCTTCTTTTTTGAAGTATCCTGGCTCCAATCCATTCTCGAGGTCTTCGGGACATGTTGCTATTTCAACGTCTGAAATAATAATAAAACCATGACATGTAATTATTTTAAATAAAAATAAACAATAACAGCATGTCAGTCTCCATATGATCGAGATAATGTGTCGACGAGACGTGAAACCCGATTTCATTTATTTAGACATGGAAGTGCGTTTTAATCTATTTATTATATACGTGTGACGGTTTCAATGTCAAGCCAAAATTTGTGTGAAAATAATATAGATAGCCTAGCCATCTGGTATTTTTGTCCCCCGCCTTTCGAAGAAAGCAGGGGACTATTAAAATGGGTTCGTCCGTCTGTCTGTCCGTCACACTTTTTGGGACACAATAACTCTCTTCCTAATTGAGCTAGAATGTTCAAACTTGGTGTATGTGTTTATTAGGTCAATGCCTTGATGGAGTTCGAAGATGAGCATTTTCCGCTTAGGGTAAGCAGAGATAAGCAATTTGATTGGTTGATGCTTTGGGACACGATAACTCTCTTCCTAATTGGGCTAGAATGTTCAAACTTGGTGTATGTGTTGATTAGGTCAATGCCTTGATGGAGTTCGAAGATGAGCATTTTCCGCTTAGGGTAAGCAGAGATAAGCAATTTGATTGGTTGATGCTTTGGGACACGATAACTTTTAATTGAGCTAGAATGTTCAAACTTGGTGTATGTGTTTATTAGGTCAATGCCTTGATGGAGTTCGAAGATGAGCATTTTCCGCTTAGGCTAAGCAGAGATAAGCAATTTGATTGGTTGATACTTTGGGGCACGATAACTCTCTTCCTAATTGAGCTAGAATGTTCAAACTTGGTGTATGTGTTGATTAGGTCAATGCCTTGATGGAGTTCGAAGATGAGCATTTTCCGCTTAGGGTAAGCAGAGATAAGCAATTTGATTGGTTGATGCTTTGGGACACGATAACTTTAGTTCTAATTAAGTGAGATTGATGAAACTTGGTGTATAGTTTCATTACAGTAATACCTTGACTAAGTTTGATAATGAGCATTTTCTGCTCAGGGTAAGCAGCAATTTGATTGGTTGATACTTTGGGGCACGATAACTCTCTTCCTAATTGAGCTAGAATGTTCAAACTTGGTGTATGTGTTGATTAGGTCAATGCCTTGATGGAGTTCGAAGATGAGCATTTTCCGCTTAGGGTAAGCAGAGATAAGCAATTTGATTGGTTGATGCTTTGGGACACGATAACTTTAGTTCTAATTAAGTGAGATTGATGAAACTTGGTGTATAGTTTCATTACAGTAATACCTTGACTAAGTTTGATAATGAGCATTTTCTGCTCAGGGTAAGCAGAGCGATACGCAATTTGATTGGTCGAGACTTTGGAAAACAATAACTCTCCTACTTTGATTGTTAGACTATAAGTAAAGATATACTGTTTGATTGTTCAATACTTTGTAAAAGATAATTTGTGATAAATTTATATGTGTCCTCTAATTATTTTCCTATTTCGGCGGGGGACATCAGCCTCACTGTTGGCTTGTTAGTTATTACATTGGCGAATTTCAGAAGGGCAGCGATATCAATTGAGATTTTTTTGTAAGGTCAATAGCTTCTCATTCAAAAACATTGAACAAATAGTTAAGGTGAGAAGAAGTAATGCATTTTTTCTTACCCTCTTTATCTTCAGTTTTTATTTCTTCAGTTTTTATATCTTCTGCAGTTTTTATATCTTCGCTTTTTATATCTTTTTCTTTCGTTGTTATATCATCTGGTTCTGTTTTTATATCTTCTGCAGTTTTTATATCCTTTGTTTCTGCTTCTAAATCTTCAGTTTTTATATCTTCTTTTTTCATATCTTCTGCTTTTATATCTTCAGTTTTTATATCTTCGGTTTTTATATCTTCTGCTGTTTTATCTTCTGCAGTTCTTATATCTTCTGCAGTTTTTATATCTTCTGTAGTTTTTACATCTTCAGTTTCTGTTTTTATATCTTTAGTTTTTATATCTTCGGTTTTTATGTCCCCTGTTTCTTTTTCTAAATCTCCAGTTTTGATGTCTTCTGTTTCTGTTTTTATATTTTTAGATTTTTTATCTTCTTCAGTTGTTGCATCGTCTGTTTTTATATCTTCTTCAATTGTTTTATCTTTTGTTTTTATATCTTCTGTTTTTATATCATCGGTTTCTGTTTTTATTTCTTCTGCAGATTTCATATCTTCTGTTTCGTCATCTTTTGATTCAATATCTGCTGTGTTTATAACTTCTATTTCTGTATCTTCTCTATCTCGACCTTCTATTTCTCTGTCTTCGCTTTCTTTACTTTCTGTTGGCGATTTCCCCATAGACAAAGGCATTACTCCGAACTTCATTATAACTGCAAACGAAAGCCAAGTTTACATATTAAAATTTCTCATTAAAAAAAAAACCGAAGTCGCAGATATTCATTGGCATTTATCGATCATTTTTTTTTTTTTTTTTTCTTCTTTTTTTGTCACGTCTTAACCCGACACTCCCCTACCCTTTCGACTGGAGAAAAATGAAAGTGTCCTTTAATTGTGCAAAGCCGGGGATGGCGAGGAATGTTTAAGACTACGGTACGTGTAAGAAAGGCTACTGAAAGTGTCAAAAATATTATACACCTTGGCCGGATGCCCCAATGGGGTGAGGACCCAATGTTTTCAGCCTGCCAAGTCTGTAGGTAAATCTATCCCTGATTGTTCTCTCTTTCTGTATAGAGAGATATTAAAATGGGGTTTAACGTCCATTCGACACAATGTTATTGTATGTTTCAATTTTGTTTGGATAATTTGCTGTTTAGCGTAGTGCTATTTAGCAGTTAGGGGAAACAGGAGGACCCGGAGAGGTGGGACAGGCGACCCTACTCCTTGTCACGTACAAACAGGGAATTGACAGACCTTATGGTTTCACGCGCACGCGTTAAACCACTGGATCACCAATTTGGTAAATCCAGTGGCACATTTTGAAGTGAAAGTGTAAAGTTATTCCATTTCATATTTCCTTACTTTATGTGTTTCGTGTTTTTGAATGCCATATTTTCGCGTTAGATTTGAAAACACAAATAAAAGACGAAGAAAAGAAGGCGCGATTATCCACACATTCTGCATTGAAATAAATGTCGTATTATCGCTTTTGAAATAGCTAAAACATCAAGAAATTAATCTTTGGTCAATGAACAATTAGCGCCATGACAACGACCGACATTCATTTTCTTTGCATTATTAACTTTCTTTTACTGTATAATAAACGAGACAGATTTATAGAAAAATTAAAAATAGTTTACATTACTTACTTGAAGTCAAAACTCTGTATTTAAAATATTTTCAATGTTTTTTTCCGCTAAAATAAACCTGTGTAAGTGATAATATCGTTATAATAATTATCGATTATGCTTGCTCCATATTACAAGACAATAAATTGTGACGTCACACTAATTGTGACGTCACAATGAATATAACGCTATCGAATGTCGATTTTCATTGGCCATTATCATTGTAAATTTGGGATCCTTTCCTATTTCATTTGGGGGGGGGGGGTATATTCTCCCAATGTGACGTGTATCCAATTTTATTAATGGGACTCTCAAAAAAGGGGGAGGGGGTCGGTAATCAAAGAGAAACGTTAAATTAGATTTGTGAAATTTGAAATAATCGCTGTACAACAAGCTGTCTTACTTAATTTGAATAAAAAGGTATTTTTGTTTAAAATAATTATCTCCCTTTCTCATCTGAATACTAGGTCCTATACCTGAGTCTTGGGTCATATAACCATATATCTTGGCCCCCGACATAACTAACCCTCTGCAAGACACTGGTCCATCGGGGATTTTGCCACTCACTAGAGAAAGATCATTCGTTCTTCCCCACTGACATAATTATAATACCAGTAGGCTAAATATGTTATTTTGGGGTGTACTTTTAATTGGTTGGAGGGGGCATAATCGAGAATGCACTAGCATTTCCCAACTCCTTTGAAATATATATATATATTTATTTTTAAATAATTAAACATATGAAATCTGTAAGTTCTTTACTTAAAGTTCCATGTGGTACTCCACACTCATCAGAAGAAAAATACAAATGAAGTTTGATTACACGAGGCATGGTAACAACGGTTGACGGGCGTGACGTCAAAAGTATACAACAAAACATAACAAATTATTTAGGAAAGATATTACTGAATTATAACTACTAAAACATCTGTGTCTTAGATGAGCCAAGCTTTAAATATTGTCGACTAGTAAATTTAGTACTTGTAGTTTATAGGGTATGACATTGACACAATTAACATTAAGGTTAACTGGCGGAACAAGGCAATTATAAATTTATTTTTAGATATATAGACTAAGTCTGTCCCTTGGGAACTCCAAGCCAAGTATCCATAGGCGAACTAGCCAGGGGGCAGCCGCCCCCCCCCCCTAACTTTCGGGTAATCTGACTTTTCGGGCAGACGGGTAAAGTGGGGGAAAAAAGGATTATTTCATCTAGATGGCAAAATAAAGTCCAATGTCTAATAAAACACTATATTTACTTTACTTTTAATTGAATATCACGAATTTGTACTGAATTGACTATGGATTAAAACATCTTGTCGGGAGACACTCTACTTTTTGCATCAGGCATCAATGCAGCTGCAACAGTCTGCAGTTGAATGTTTGGAATTTAGGTCGGCATAGAGTGGGCTTTCGGTTATAAAACCATTGGATAACACGGGGAACAGTCTGATTACACTATTTTGCCTTATTACACTATTTTGCCTATACCGTTTTTTAGGACTTCGAATTTTGTCTAATGGTTTGGATTGTTCGTACTTGGTTTTATTTTACTTAGAGTTGCTTAACTCACGGGCTAGAATAGCAGAAAAAGACATTTGCGGCGTTTAGATTTCTCCGGGAGGGCGAGGTCCCCATACTCCACGACGATTAATAAAAATTGTTTGGATTCAGGTCAGCCACTCTCAGGTACTACTGAGGTAGGCTATATTGTACCACACTGAAGATGCTGGGATAGCAGAAAAACACGTTTGTGGCAGTAAAGTTTGTTTGGGATTCAGGTCAGTCACCTATAAGGTAGGCTATATTGTACCACACTGAAGTTGCTGGGATAGCAGACAAACAAGTTTGCGACAGTTAAATTTTCTCCCGACGGTACCGTCTTCGTGGGCTGTAAACGATTGATTGGAATTCCAGTCAGCCATCTTAATTAGGCTATATTAGACCACTTTGAAGTTGCTGTATCCACGGGCTTGAATAGCAGGAAATGCGTTTGCTGCCGTTCAATTTTCCCAAATTTTCTTCGACAGACCCTACACGGTAAGCTTCGCTCTCACAGAAGACCAGCGCCCCCGCCTGTAACCCGAAATTTTTTCGGGTATTCCGGGTTCTGCCCCCCTAACCCAAATGTCATCGAACCCGTACGCCTATGAATCACACGTCCGGAGGCTGACTATAGTTACTTTCGTTTTCCACTCCACTTCACTTGGACGCTGATCAGTCACCCACCATTTCCCCCTAGTAACCGAGACAAAATAAGACGTCAAAGAAACGAAAACGAATCTAACAGTTCAAAGGGCCTACTAATCACAGACTGAGTGCATTGGAAATCCCAAGACAGCTACGACCGGGTCTGACTAGTTACTTTCGCTTTCCACTCCACGTGAACGCCGACCAAGCACCCACTGTCGTGTTTATTTTAAACTATACCCCTTTGACTTTGCTGATAATTGATATATAGGGCCTATGTTTATTTAGCTTGATCGGACTACGGTTCCAGAGATAAGTCCCGTTTAATTTTGGCGTGTCAATATTAAAATGACCATAGCTCAGTAACTGCTTCATCTTCATATATAGTGGGGCGGTTAAGGAAGAATTTATTGATATACATATAACTAGGGGTGTCACAATAAGACATTTTTTTACAAATCATTTGAGGCCAGCAATTTCCAGATGCGAAATTGCTAGCTGAACACGATTTTTGAAAAAAAGATTTATCTATGACGTCATTTTCGTTTGGGGTTTGCCTGATTTCCAAAATGGCCGCCAAAATTTGAAGAAAAATGAATTTCCAGATAAGATGGGTGATTATCACGCAATGTATGCCTTGTAATATATCAAATATAAGATTTTTGTTGTAATTGAACTGAAAAATAATCTTTAAAACTAGTTTTCCCCAAATCCAAGATGGCGGAAATTCAAAATGGCGGCCACAATATACACAAAATGGCGGATTGATCTGATTAAAATCAATTCACTGTTTGATTTGGTTTGTAATATATAATTTAAAGGGTTTACATTGTCACTGAACTTAAAATTAATCTAAATAAAAAAATAGTTTCCAAAATCCAAAATGGCAACCAACATTTATCTAAAATGGCCGATTTGTCAGATAAAAGTCATTTCACTCTTTGATATGGTTTGTAATATATAATATAAAGAGTTTTCAAAGTCATTGAACTTAAAATCAAACTAAAAAAAAAAAGGAGTTTCCAAAATCTAAGATGGCGGAAATTCAAAATGGCGCCCAGATGAAATTAAAAATGCCTCAGTTGGCCCCGTTGTATTGTTATGGGGTGGGGGGTGGAGGGTCGGAATAACCAGATATTTTCTCCAAAGAATGTGTCAATTCTTAACATTATCATTAGCATCACATGTTTTAATGCATAAAACAATTAAACTACATTTATTGTGTCTTAAGGTTAAAATCTTTGAAATTCTAATTAGCTGACTGGTAAGTTCTGCACATGTTTAATTGACTGACAGGTAGATTCCTGAGTCCGGTCAATTTCAGTTGCCCTCAAAAAACTATTACACTTTGCTATTATAAACCAATCCAATAGAAAGATTTTTTTTTTAAATAATAATCTACAATTATCGAATTCAGTGACTCTGAAAACTTAATAGAGGACATATTACAAGCCATCTTAGATTTTGGAAACTAATGATAATGTGATGCTAATGATAATGTTAAGAATTGACACATTCTTTGGAGAAAATATCTGGTTATTCCGACCCTCCACCCCCCACCCCATAACAATACAACGGGGCCAACTGAGGCATTTTTAATTTCATCTGGGCGCCATTTTGAATTTCCGCCATCTTAGATTTTGGAAACTCTTTTTTTTTAGTTTAATTTTAAGTTCAATGACTTTGAAAACTCTTTATATTATATATTACAAACTATATCAAAGAGTAAAATGACTTTTATCTGACAAATCGGCCATTTTAGATAAATGTTGGTTGCCATTTTGAATTTCCGCCATCTTGGATTTTGGAAATTATTTTTTGATTTAGATTAATTTTAAGTTCAGTGACAATTTAAACCCTTTAAATTATATATTACAAACCAAATCAAAAAATGAAATGACTTTAATCTGATCAATCCGCCATTTTGTGTATATTGTGGCCGCCATTTTGAATTTCCGCCATCTTGGATTTGGGGGAAACTAGTTTAAGAGATTATTTTTCAGTTCAATTACAACAAAAACCTTATATTTGATATATTACAAGGCATACATTGCGTGATAATCACCCATCCAATCTGGAAATTCATTTTTCTTCAAATTTTGGCGGCCATTATGGAAATCAGGCAAACCCCAAACGAAAATGACGTCGTAGATAAATCTTTTTTTCAAAAATCGTGTTCAGCTAGCAATTTCGCCTCTGGAAATTGCTGGCCTGAAATGATTTGTAAAAAAATGTCTTATTGTGACACCCCTAGTTATATGTATATCAATGAATAGGCGGCCATTTTGGAAAAGATGGCCGTAAAGACCACCTGGGGGAGCTGCTGAGGTGGATCCACATCCCAAAATAATCAGTAGGGTTGATGCCATCTATGTGCCAAGTTTCATGCTTTTAACCCAAAGTGCATGATTTTTTGCTTAACCGCCCCACTAATATGGGTGTTTTCCACTGCTATCCTTCATACTGTCATATCTTTAAACCACCGTGGACCCCTTAAGTGTTTGTGAACATCTACAGGACAGTCTACACGACCTTAAATAAAGTACAATGTTGCCGTCTACCAATAATTTACCTTGAAGTATTTGTTATCAAATGATAAATTAATATATGGCTTTGGTCAGGGCTGGCTTTACCATTAAGCAAAACAAACAAACACTTGCTTGGAACGTTCACGAAACAGGGCCGGCGGAAGCAATTCTTGATTGGGGGGGCTTCCATCCTAGGTCCTTATAGGCAAGGGTCCAGGGGCCGCAATAACCTGGAGAAAAGAGTACTTGTGGCCAAATTATTGAGGGGGCTAAAGCTCCCCCTAGCCCCCCCCACTCCGCTGGGCCTGCGAAAAATCCCACTGTTGAAGTATATTTTAAAAAATCCTACAACGCGTGGATACCACGTAAATATGTTACGTAAACTGAGTTTGGAGGATCTGATCAAAGACTTTAGAATAAAAAGTAGAAGTTTTTAAATAATATCAATAAACATTATTTTCAGACTTAATTTCATTAATTTCGAAAAGAAAACTCTAATTTTATAGTTTATCATTTAATTACATATATGGGGTGGGGTGGGGCATTACAATCTTTTAAGTGCTTTTAAAAGGCCTCCATAGGTCTTAATCCAGCCCTGGCTTTGGTTACTAATATAGATATGTTTTTCAACCTATGAATTTAGGATTGTGACTGGCTTGGAAATTTTTTTTTATTGAACATTGCATCATAATAAATAACTAAGAAATATGTTAATCTTTTAAATATCTTTATTAAAATAACCCGATTTAGTAAAATTTGATTATGAATGATTGTCATAAAAACACAACAAACATGTTTAATAGGAAAAGGTTTACAAAAAAAAAAAAAAAAAAATTATATAAAATATTGACAAAAAGTCATTTGCAAGTTACATATATAGTTAAACATTGTTATAAAATAACATAAAACTTACCTGAATGTCTTGAACAATAACTGGAGCTAAGAATTTCCAAAATATGTGCTGTATTTAAAGACGGGTTCCCGCGTACAAACTGGGTGATTTAATGATATATATGGACTAAAAACATATTCAAACTAATTAATTTGTCATAATTATGCTTCAAATCCTTCTCAAACATTGCAATTGCAAAGGAATGCCCTGCTATAAAAATTTGATCAAACCAGGTCATGTTTACGTCACGTCTTGGAAGTCAGAGGAGAATCCATTGCATACATAAGACGATGTTGTTTTTAATCGCTTACTATTTATTACAAATATCGAATCCTAATTAAATTCTCGGTTTATCCACTACCCGCATCTTTTTCCGTCATTTTTATCTCAGAAAGTGTTGTTCGTCTAACTCTTCATAGCGTTTATCAACTTGTACATCAAGCGCTCAATGTTCGCGTGTGACCTTTGACATCACGCGTGCAGAAATTCTTAATCGTCGGGCTGTTGATTAGGGGAACCCTTAACATTTTTGTCCTGTATAGGCTCCATGAGTGTTTTTCCGGGAATCCAGGTCATTTCGGGACTAACATATGGGTTAATTTTAATTTCAATAATTTGTTTGTGCGTAAGGGTCTTTAGCAGTGGGAGGAAACCGGAGGACCCGGAGAAAACCCACGAGGTTGGACCAGTGACCCTACTCCTTGTCACATACACTCATTGGTCCATAAGACAGGGATGTTTTTTATTAATGTACACGTATTAATATGAGGATTGTCCTATTCCGGTAACTGTGGACCAAGATCGGTGTCATATCTGCGGCTTGCCTAGCTTGGAAATAATTTGCTCCATCCCATCTCTTTGTGCTCAGAAATCTGACTGTAACCTCAAAGTTCTTGTTGGCATAAATAGTTCATTTGTTCGACCATCTAAACTTGTTTTCATCTGCAAGTATATTTATATTTTTTAGATAGTTGCCAGAAAACAAAACATGGACCTGCCAGTGGCTAAGTGGTCATACAATACAAATTTTAATAAGATCAGATCATAATTAAAACCTCCAATAGTAGTTATGGGAGAACCGCACAACACATAAACAATATAAACCATGAAGACAAACCCGAAGCAAGATACAAGCAATAAACAACAAGATTTTATAACAATTGGGAAATAACTCTGGCAGTCATTATCCTAAATAGGTGAATATCAATAGGATTCCTCCTGTCAATATAGTAGAAATTGAATATCAATTTGAGAAAGATCCGATCATAACTGATTTTGATAAAAAGGAGATTAACTCTTAAAGTTATTGTTGAAAATTAATACAAAGTTTCAAAAAGATTGGATCACAATTGAAGCCCTGAGGGTGCTAACAAGATATCGTAACAAAGGGGAATAACTGAAAGTTATCGAAAGATATGGAAAAATATTCAATGAGATAGACAAGCTACATCATTTTAAACAAATGGTTGCCATGCAAGATAAGCCTACATTTCGCAAGAGGTGGACAGAGAACAGTTTTTAAAAAAAGCAATTTTTCGTAAATCAGGGGCCGTAATCCAGGAAGTTACGATCCGATATGCGCAACTATCGAAGGAACCCTAGATCTTTGGGATATAAACATATATTAAGTTTTGTCAAAAATTGTGAGCTCTAGAGGGTGATCACAACCTTAGTATGACCTACTTTACACTATTTGCGTTCAGGGAGTGGCCATTCTGTCGGGTAGTTTTGATCCGATTTTCACGAAATTTGAACTCAATTGTCATTATGGTGTAACAGTGATATATTTAAATCTTTTTTTTTTAAATCGGATAAAAATTGTGACCTCTTGAGGGTTCCACAAGCGAAAAACGTGATTTTTCATGCAATCAGGGGTCATAATCCAGAAATGCACAAATATAAAAAAGGGGACTCCAGAGGGTCCGTAACCTTGGTATTACATACTGTTACACTATATGTGGCGCAGCCATTTTGTCGGGTAGTTTCGGTCCGATTTTCATGATATTCGAACTCAACCGTCATGTAGAAAGGCCATTTTGTTGGGCAGTTTCAGTCCCATTTTCATGAAATTTGAACTCAACCGTCACTATGGCGTATCGGTGAGATATTTGAACAATATTTGTTATTGCCCTGTCCGTCCCCGTACCAGACTATAACTTCCTGGATTATGGCCCCTGATTGTACGAGAAAAATCACATTTTTAGCCTAACCCTGGACCTAGCCCTAATACTTACCCAAATCCTAACCTACAATCTAGCCAACAATCACTTGCCCTAACCTTATTTACATCCCAGCAACCTTGATGAAAATAGAGTTGCCTGGTTTTAGCTTGCGGTCCATCTAAAGGTCACAATTTTTATCTGATTTTCAAGATAGGTTGCCAGGCAACGAAACATACCCCCACAGCAACTAAGTTGTCCACAGTCAACAAAGGTTGTCGCATAATTTTTCTTTTGTCAGTAATCAGAAGATTTACAACACATCAAAAACTGACAAGTAATAACCCATTAAGTAATTATCAGAAATCATCAGAATTTATTTCAATTGTTTGTCTCATGACCTTAAGCAATTTATATTAACTTTAGCTTCTAGAAGGTACACAAGATTTTTCAAAGTGATCAAGGGCCATAACTCTGGTTGTAATTATCGGAAATAGTTGAAAATCAATAGGCTTCTTCGTCTCATGACCTTAAACACTGTGTATAAATTTAAAGTCAATTTAAAGTCAATCGGATATTAACTTTTATAGGTTGTGGACGCCAGACCGATGGATGGGGCCAAGACAATAATGTGACCACATTTCAATGTCGTTGTATTAAAACTGTTCAAATATATCATCCTTACATACAAATAGTGGAAAAGTATATAAAACCAAGGTTGCCGACATTGGCCCAACATAAGACTGCTAGTTGGGAATCTTAACCAATTTTGATGAGACTTAAAATATATATCTATATTCCAAAGATCTCGGTTCCTTTGACATTCCAGCATATATTGGACAGTAACTTAATGGATTATGGCCCCTGATTGTACGCAAAAATTGTGATTTTAGCTAGTGGACCCTTGAGAAGTCACAAATTTTATCTGATTTAAAACCAGCGGCTGCCAGGCAGGATACGCCCACATTTTCGAGAGATGGATAGAGAACAAGCTAAAAAGGAGTGATTTTTCCTGCAATCAAGGGCCATAATTCAGAAAATTACAATTCCATATGCGCAAATATCGAAAGGAACCGAGATCTTTGGGTTATAAACTCACATTTCAAGTTAAAACATAATCGGATAAAAATTGTGACCTTTATAGGGTCCACAACCTTGATATACCATATTTTTACGCTATTTGAGAACGAGGGGCGGCCATTTTGTCTGTCAGTTTTGGGCCGATTTTCACGAAATTCAAACTCAGCCATCCTTAGGGTGTAACGGTGATACAATAATACATTTTTTAAATCGGATAAAAATTATGACCTCTCTAGGGCCCACAAGCTAAAAACCTGATTTTTCGTACAATCAGGGGCCATAATTCAGGAAGTTACGGTCCAATATGTGCAAATATCGAAAGGAACCGAGATCTTTGGGTTATAAACTTACATTTCAAGTTTCAACAAAATCGGATTTGGGCCGATTTTCATGAAATTCGAACTCAGTCCTCCTTAGGGTGTAACGGTGATATAAAAATACGTTTTTTTAAATCGGATAAAAATTATAATCTCTATAGGGTCCACAAGCTAAAAACGCGATTTTTCGTACAATCAGGGGCCATAATTCAGGAAGTTACGTTCCGATATGGGCGAATATCGAAAGGAACCGAGATCTGTGGGTAATAAGCATACATTTCAAGTTTGAACCAAATCGGATAAAAATTGTGGTCTCTACAGTGTTCACAAGCTAAAAACGTGATTTTTCGTACAATCAGGGGCCATAATCCATGAAGTTACAGTCCGATACATGCCAATATCGACAGAAACCGAGATCTTAGGGTGATAAACCTATATTTCAAGTTTCATTGAAATCAAATAAAAATTTTGACCTGTAGAGTGTTCACAAACAATTGTGAACGGACGGACAGGGGGGATGACAATATATGTCCACATGAAAATGTGGGCGTATAAAAACTGTTGAAATATATCACTGTAACACCATAATGACGGTTGAGTTCGAATTTCATGAAAATAGGACTGAAATTGCCTGACAAAATGGCTGCTCCACATACACATTCAGATAGAAATTGCTCAAATTCAATAGGTTTCTTCGTTTCACTAATTTACAAGATGCATACAAAATTTATACATATCGGATGATAGCTTTCGACTTTCAAGCGTTCACAAGGTTCAACTCAGTTAAACAAGGGTGATGACTCTAGAAGTAATTATTGGAAATTGCTTAAATTCAATAGGCTTCTTTGTTTTACTAATCTTCATGACGCATATAAATTTCATACAGATTGGATGATACTTTTGTAGCTGGCGCGTTCACAAGGTGCAACAAAGTGAAACAAGGGCTATAACTCCAGAAGAAATTAACGTAAATTGCTGAAATTATATAAGATTCTTCATTTCCCTAATTCTAATGATGCAAATAAATTTCATACAGATCAGATGATAACTTTCGTCATTTGAACATTCATAAAATTCAATAAACTGAAACAAGGGCCATAACTGTATAAGAAATTAAAGGAAATTGCTAGAATTCAATAGGCTTTTTCACTAATTTAAATGATGAGTATAAATTTCATACAGATTGTATGATAACTTTGTCGCTAGAGCGTTCACAAGGTTCAATAAAGTGAAACAAGGGCCATAACTCTAGACATAATAAACGAAAATTGCTGAAATTCAATAGGGTTCTTTGTTTCACTAATTTAGATAATGCATATCATTTTCACAAAAATCGGGTGATACCTTTTGCCGTAATAGCGTTTACAAGGTTCAACAAGGTCCTTGCTTCACTTTGTTGCACCTTGGGATCGCTCTAACATTAAAAGTTATCTGCCGATCTGTATGAAATTTACATGCGTCATTTAAATTAGTAAAGAGAAGAATCCTATTGAATTTCAGCAATTTCCGTTATTTACTTCTAGAGTTATGGCCCTTGTTTCACTTTGTTGCACTTTGTGAACGCTCTAACCTCTAAAGTTATCTGCCGATCTGTATGAAATTTATATGTGCCATTTAAGTTATTAAAAAAACCAATCCTATTGAATTTCAGCAATTTGCGTTTATTACATCTGGAATCATGGCTCGTTTCACTTTCTTGAACCTTTTGAACGCTGTAACGCCGCAAGTTATCATCCGATCTTTGTGAAATTTATAATGCATTATTTAAATTAGTGAAACCTTGAAGCCTATTGAATTTCAGCAATTTACAATAATTATTTCTACGGTTATGGGCCTTGTTTCACTTTGTTCAACCTTGTTAATGCTCGATTGATGAAAGTTATCATCCGATATGTATGCAATTTATATGCATTATTTAAATTTGTGAAACAGATGTCTATTGAATTTCAGCAATTTCCGTCAATAATTTCTAGAATTATGGCCCTTGTTTTACATTGTGAACCTTGTGAACGTTTGAATGACAAAAGTGATCATCCGATCTGTATGAAATTTATAGGCATTATTTAAATTAGTAAAACGAAAAAGCCTGTCAAATTTCAACAATTTTTGTACACTACTTCCAGAGTTGAGGCTTGTTTCAGTTTGTAGAACTTTGTGAACCTTCAAACGACAAAAACTATAATCTTTTTTTATCTGATTTTGTTGAAATTTTAAATGTAAGTTTATAACTCAAAGATCTTGATTCCTTTCAATATTCGCGCATATCGGACCGTAACTTCCTGAATTATGGCCCCTGATTGTACGAAAAATCATGTTTTTTAGCTTGTGGACATTATGGAGGTCACAATTTTATTCCGATTTAAAAAAAACGGTTGAATATATCACCATTACACCTTAATAACGGTTGGGTTCGAATTTCGTGAAATTTGGACCAGAACTACCGGACAAAATGGACGGCCCTCGTATGCAAACAGTGTAAAAATATGGTATATCAAGGTTGTGGACCCTCTAAAGCTCACAATTTTGATCCGATTTTGATGGAACTTGAAATACATGTTTATAACCCAAACATCTTGGTTCCTTTTGATATTTACTCATATTGATAGTAATTTCCTGAATTATGGCCCTTGACTGTACGTAAAATCACGTTATTAGCTTGTGGTCTCTCTCTAGAGGTCAAAATTATTATCCGATTTAAAAAACTGTGTGAATATATCACCGTTACACCATAATGATGGTTAAGTTCGAATTTTGATCCAATTTTGATGCATGTTTATAACCCAAAGATCTTGGTTGCTTTTGATATTTGCGCATATCGGATCGTAACTTCCTGAATTATGTCCCCTGATTGTACGAAAAATCGTGTTTTTAACTTGTGGTCCCTCTAGAGGTCACAATTGTTATCTGATTTACAAAAACGTTCGAATATATCTCTGTTACACGTAATGTTGGTTGACTTCGAATTTCGTGAAATTTGGACCAAAACTTTGGACAAAATGGCCGCCCCTCATACACAAATAGTGTAAATATCTGGTATATCAAGGTTGTGAACCCTCTAGAGGTCACAATTTTGATCCGATTTTGATGAAACTAGAAATACATGTTTATAACCCACAAACCTTTGTTCCTTTTGATATTTGCGCATATCGGATCATAACTTCCTGAATTCTGGCCCTTGATTGTACAAAATTTAGAGGTCACAATTTTTATCCGATTTAAAAAAACATGTGTCAATATATCACTGTTACACACTAAGATCTTGGTTCCTTTTGATAATAGCGCATATCCAAACGTAACTTCCTGGATTGTGGCCCTTGATTGTTCGAAAAAAAAAAGCATTTTTAGCTTGCAGATTCTCTAGAGTTGACAATTTTTTTCCGATTTTAAAAACCGTTTAAATATATCACCATTCCCCCATAATGAAGGTTGAATTTGAATTTCGGGAAAATTGAAATGAAACTGCTCAACAAAATGGCCGCTCTTTGTACGCAAATTGTGTAAAAGTATGTAATATGAAGGTTGTGGACCCTCTAGAGGTCACAATTTTTATTCGACTTTAATGAAACTCAAAACATATCTTTATATCTCAAAGATCTCGGTCCCTTTTGATATTTGCACATTTCAGATCATAACTTTCTGGATTATTGCCCCTGATTGTACAAAAAATCGTGTTTGTTTTTAGCTTGTTCTCTATCCAGCTCCTGCAAAATGTGGAAGTATTCTGCCTGACAGCCGCTGGTTTTTATACATTTCACTGATATGGTTAATTGTATAGGTAATTTTTTACTTCAATATGCTCACAATCATATTTTATGTGGCATATAGCAGCTTATGACTCGTACTAGTATTACACAATGGGTTATATTCCTGATTGTGTTTTTCAATTTTGAGTGAAGTTTGTATCACTACAGGCCCAGGACTGTGCGGCGCATTGGATGCTTACGGCTAGCCCCCGGAATGCATCCACTTAAACTGATATGTACGTTTGTTTGTGATTTCAACATATTATGTGTGGTGCAATCCCCCTGCACTTATTATTAGTAGCGGCTATGTGGGTCATCCACTGTGCTATAGGTGTACATTGTATGTATGGAATTATTGTCATTTGTAAGATAGAAGTTCCAGTAATTAAAAGATTTATGAACCACTCCAGGCTTATTAGTTATTGAAGAACCTAGCAGTTATAGTATGTAGTACCAAGGTTGTGGAACCTTTAGAGATCACAATTTTTATACGATTTGGTGAAACTTAAAGGACAATATTGGTGTCCACCATTATCACATAATGTGATAGAACTGGTTAATTAAACACTTCCAAATATAATTTTAACACAGAGATTATTGCTACGATAGATGCGTAACAAAGATTTGATGAAACAGAAGTTATGAAAGCAAAAAGGAAAACGTGTTATCCTTCTATATAATATAACTGACTGAAGTTAACTAGCGATAACAGATAAACAGGCAAATTTCTGCTCACTAATAATTCCTTCAAAGACTAATACTTATTATATGAGACCGTGAGAGGATAACTGACATTTTATGAAAAGAACTTAGATTATGGCCCCTGATGGTACGAAAAATCACAAAGCTTTAGCTTGTTCTCTATCCATCTCTTGCAAAATGTGAGCATACCTTACACATGGCAACCACTTGCTTTTAAATTGGATAGACATTGGATAGACGATATCCACAAGATATTTTGAAGTGATCAAGGGCCATAACTCTGGCAGTAATTATCGGAAATCGCTGAAAATCAATAGGCTTCTTCGTCTCATGAGTTTAAACACTGTGTATAAATTTAACGTCAATTGAATATTAACTTTGGCCTCTAGAGCGTCATAACTTTGGCAGTAATTATTGGAAATCACTGAAATCAATATGCTTCTTCGTCTCATGACCTTAAACACTGTGTATAAATTTAAAGTCAATCGGATATTAACTTTGACCTCTAGAGCGCCGACAAGATTTTTATACGCCCACATTTTCATGTGGACATATTATGCCGTCGCCCCTGTCCGTCTGGACGTCCGTCCACAATTTGTTTGTGGACACTCTAGAGGTCACAATTCTTATCCGATTTTGACGAAACTTGAAATATAGGTTTATCTCCAAAAGATCTTGGCTGCTTTCGATATTGGCATGTATCGGATCGAAACTTCTTGGATTATGGTCCCTGTTTGTACGAAAAATCACGTTTTTAGCTTGTGGACCCAATAGAGGTCACAATTTTTATTCGATTTTGTTGAAACTTGAAATGTAAGTTCATAACCCAAAGATCTCGGTTCCTTTCGATATTCGCGCATATCGGACCATAACTTCCTGAATTATGGCCGCTGATTGTATGAAAATCGCGTTTTTAGCTTGTGGACCCTATAGAAGTCATAATTTTTATCTGATTTAAAAACCCGTATTATTATATCACCGTTACACCCTAAGGACGACTGAGTTGGAATTTCATGAAAATCGGCCCAAAATTGACAGACAAAATGGCCGCCGTTCGTTCTCAAATAACGTAAGAATATGGTATATCAAGGTTGTGGACCCTATAGAGATCACAATTTTTATCCGATTTTGTTGAAACTTGAAATGTAAGTTTTAACCAAAAGATTTCGGTTCCTTTCGATATTCGCGCATATCGGACCATAACTTCCCGAATTATGGCCCCTGATTGTACGAAAAATCGCGTTTTTAGCTTGTGGACCCTATAGAAGTCATAATTTTTATCCGATTTAAAAAAACGTGTTATTATATCACTGTTACACCCTAAAGACGATTGAATTCGAATTTCGTGAAAATCAACCCAAAATTGACAGACAAAATGGTCGCCGTTCGTTTTCAAATAGCGTAAAAATACGGTATATCAAGGTTGTGGACCCTATAGACCGATTTTGTTGAAACTTGAAATGTAAGTTTATAACACAAAGATCTCAGTTATTTTCGATATTCGCGCATATTGAATTGTAATTTCCTGAATTATGGCCCTTGATAGTAGGAAAAATCACTTTCTTGTTAGCTTGTTCTCTTATCCATCTCTCGAAAATGTGGGCATATCCTGCCTGGCAGCCGCTGGTTTGAAGTGATCAAGGGCCATAACTCTGGCAGTAATTATCGGAAATAGCTTAAAACCAATAGGCTTCTTTGTCTCATGACTTTAAAGACTGTGTATAAATTTAAAGTCAATCGGATATTAACTTTAGCCTCTACAGCTTCACGATTTTTTGAAGTGATCAAGGGCCATAACTCTGGCAGTAACTATCAGAAATTGCTGAAAATCAATAGGCGTCTTTGTCTCATGACCTTAAACACTGTGTATAAATTTAAAGTCAATCGGATATTAACTTTGGCCTCTAGAGTGCCCACAAGATTTTTTGAAGTGATCAAGGGCCATAAGTCGGGCAGTAATTATCGGAAATCGCTGGCAGTAATTATCGGAAATAGCTTAAAATCAATAGGCTTCTTCATCTCATGACTTTAAAGACTGTGTATAAATTTAAACTCAATCGGATATTAACTTTAGCCTCTAGACCTTCAAGATTTTTTGAAGTGATCAAGGGCCATAACTCGGGCAGTAATTATCGGAAATCGCTGAATATCAATAGGCTTCTTCGTCTCATGACCGTAAATACTGTGTATAAATTTAAAGTCAATCGGATATTAACTTTAGCCTCTAGAGCGTCCACATGATTTTTTGAAGTGATCAAGGACCATAACTCTGGCAGTAAATATCGGAAATCGCTGAAAATCAATAGGCTTCTTCGTCTCATGACCTTAAACACTGTGTATAAATTTAAAGTCAATTGGATATTAACTTTAGCCTCTAGAGCGTGGACGGACAGACCGACAGCGATGACAATACACAACCACATTTCAATGTGGGCGTACCAATCAGTGGGCATAATCCGCAAAATAACGGTCCTATATATGCTCGTATGTTTTGGATATGAATATATGTTAAGTCTCATCAAAATCGGTTAAAATTGTGACATCGGGGTCCACAAGCTAAAATCGTGGTACTATCAGGGGCTATAATCCATGAAGTTTCGGTCCGATACATGTCAATATAGAAAGGAAACAAGATCTTTGGGACATAAACCTACATTGTGAATGGACCTCTGGACAGACAGGGGTGACAAAAAAATCAGATAAAATTTGTGATCTGTAGAAGGTCCACAATCTTGGTATCACACTATAATCATCACCGGAGGCTGTAGTGGCTCAGTGAGTGAAACGTTAACCTGGAGGCCCTGTGTTTGATCCCGGTTCATCAGGATTTACCGGGGTGGTCCCCCCTCACGAGTGGTGTAGGACGGAGGGTCTGGCAAGCTGCAACGTATTGTCGTTCGTCAAGGTCCCATGTACACATTGGCGTGCACGTCAACGAACCCTTGGCAGTTGGAATTTGATATAAGAGTAGGCAACATAAACGAACTCTTGGCAGATGGAATTTGATATAAGAGTAGGCAGTAGCGTCACTATCCTGGCAAAATTTCTGTCATAGCACACTGCACGGTATATGCCCATCTTCATTAACCCAGTTGAAGCAAAACATTTTATTTCTATTCATCACCCTCGCTCAATTAGAATCAGAGTTATTGCGCTTCATGATTCCAAAACATTGACACATAAAATGCTACTCAAAGTGCGAATGTGCGACAGATAAATAGACAGATGAACCCGGGGGGTTGGGGGGCGAAGCGAAGAAAATATTCCTTGGTAACACGATACATGTAGCTCACCCATTTATTGTCTTGCAAAATGATATAAAACAGGGTTTAACTTCTTACTTTTCTGCACAAAATGACAAGGGTATACAACAATCAGTGCGTTCTGCTGTAAATTTTGTCATGACTACTACGTTACTATCTTCCCTAGCAGGGGGATCTTTACTAGCCTGTCAATGTTGTACACAGGACCACATTTTATTTTTCATCCACCAGATGCTTTCCCTTGGTCCTACACCACTGACAAGGGTAAATCAGGCTGGACCAAACCTAGGACCTTTTGTTAAGTGAGCCACTCTCATTTGCAATTCTCATAATGGCAGTGTGATTAGTACATGTACCTATGTTTTTGGTAGCAAATATATTTCTCCTCTTTTATTTTTTCAATATGTTTTCAACCCATGGGTACTGAATTCGGATTGTGATTTGCATGGAAATATATCTTTAAGCCTCTGTACATACCAAAATAAACATGAATTTATTTATTAACCTTACTTATATACATTGTTATTAAAGTTTACATTCTAGTACAATTTAGTTTAATATACATGTTTTGTTACATTATGTATATTAGACACTTAAATTGTAAAAAAATGAAATTGTGTTTATATTTACCATTACCAATACAAATATCTGATTTATTATATACTACATTAAAAGTATGTTTCATAACACTAAATTCTTTACTGAACTGTTTGGAAAATCACTGTTTATACACTAGTATGTTTGAAAAATCACTGTGTATACCGTACATTATAGTGTATGTTTGAATGATATATGTATATTGATTGTATAAATACATAATACTGTTATTAAATTATGGTATTATAAAAGATTATTAAAATTATCATGCTTGAAACCCTATAAAGATTTTCATATTTCGTCTGAAAAAGTGTTTTTCTTGTGCACAGTAAGTAATTATAATTAGTGATCATCAAGTTCAAGAATTTGTATGTTGTGTGACTGGTGGAAGACATGTGAATTTAGTGTTCAAAAAAAGTTTAACCAAATACAAAAATTCCAGTAACTTAACATAACCAATATACATTAAATATACTATTTTAACAATGTGCATAAAACTCAAATTTCAAAATTTTACTGCAGTAAAACAAAACAACTTGATACATGTATATACGGGTACTGACGAACAACTCAAAGCAAATAAATGACTAGTTTTTGTCAGTTAATTTATAATGTGTGCTGGAAATTCAAAACAAAGCATTAATTAATATTCAGCACACTAATAAAAACTAATATCACATAATAAAGAAGATAAACTTATAATACATGGATTCAAATGATCTTATTAAGGCTGGCATTTAACCCTTTCGCTAATGAATCAATAAAATCAAAGGACTGATTTAATGATCTTCTTCTTATTATCAAACTATGATTGATTTAAAGATCTTATAGTGAACCTTAGAATCAATGTTACTCCCTTTTTGTGATTTTAAACAGAAAGGAGTGATGGCTATACCATACTGTGATACAAGAAATGAATGCCACAAAGTAAATATGTCCTATCGCTTCATGATTAATTAGCAATAATCTTGACAATTGGTTAAAATTTGGCAGTTGGTAACCTTTTACTTTGCTAAGATTATTAAAACTGCAATGAACCACAGACAGAGTCCATATTTTAAAAATGATTAGGCCCACAGTCACATAATGATCATATAATTATGGTGAGAATTTCAATGTGTATTACCATTAGTACCCATTACCTCACTGATGTAATCCGGTTATTAATTTCAGCAAAAATTAATTTCTTGTTTTAGATTATCGGTACATGGGTTGCCTTTAAGTTAGTCAAGTGTTTCTACATTCATTGTGGATGTACCGCCTCTCTAATTATAACACTGACAAATTTTTGATGGCATTGTCCATATTGGCCAGCCATTGGTCAGGGGCCCAGGGCGTGCTTTTTTTGAAAAGCAGAGCAACTGGCTTGCTTTGGTACCGACAGTCCGGCACATTTGGAAGTGTTGGTATTCATATATCCACATCAGTATTCTCAGATGGAGTGGTTGATGTACTTTCAGTTAAATCCATAACAGCTAAACATAATGTAGTCGCATCAGGGAAGTTACCCTCGCCACGTTGCTGTCGTTCTGTAATTGCTTGATTTATTACATCTAAACTGTATCCCATCTCATTGACTGCTTGCTCTATAGGCGTGATCACAGGTGTTGATGCCGCCCCTGCAGTCACCATTTCACTCTGTGTGGGCACGGACGCCTTTGTGTTGAGGAGAGAGGGTCGTATAAGACTGGATGATTTTGACACTGGTGTTTGACCATTTTCCTTGCTACTTTTCAAAGAGTCTGGGACGTCCACAGACGCACTGTCCACTTCTAAAGCTCTTTGTTGCTGATGTTGCCGATGTTGCCTTTGATACTCAGAGGAAAAGATTCCTATTGGTCTCCTCTTATAATTCAATGCTGGTTGAACTGCAACAGTAGCCATTTTTTTCTGACCACTATCTGTTCTCTCCATGCACATATCTAAAGTCATATTCAAACCAGAATTCATGTTTTCATGTGAGTTCTGTGCCATTGATGTTGTTTTAAGATTTGTATTCAACTGTCCAATGTTATGCTTTATCTCTGTATTATCTGCACTATTCGAACTTAGATGATTTGACCTCCTGATCTGTATGAAGTTTCCTTTAGAGTTTTCATTTTTTAAGACTCTTTCAATGAACCCACAATTCTTACCAAACTGTTTATGAACTGTATTTGGAACTGTGTCTGGTTCCCAGTCCCTCAATACTAACCCACAATGAAAGCAATTCATTCGGTCAAAAGTGCCTTGGTAGAAAAAACCTGAACGAGCCAGAGACTCAAAACTTGGTACCTCTTCAGAATATTCACTAGGCAATCTTTCCATAGATTGCAGTCTTGTATTATAGTTTGCATACTTTCTGAATTTGGGGATTTGTAAATCGACCGAGTAGCCCAAACTTTTCAAATAAGGGCATTGCGGTGAAAGACGAAAATGAGTTTCTAGGGGGTCGTCATCTTTAGACCATTTCACAACACGTTTCTTACAATCTTCGCATTCAACACGATCACTTTCTCCGGTATACCTGAAAAATTTAATTCAAAATTATTCATCATTATGTATAATATATATCACTACGATTTGGACACAGCTTACCAAATATTCCTAAGCCGTCACTCACGAAACAAGGGCCAAAGCTATTTTTAGTCTTTCTCTCCCTTTTCCATGGCGATTTTTGTTGACTTTTTGGTGTAGAATCGAAGAAAAGGGTTTGAAAATACATTTTCTGCCAGGTTTTGGTGAATATTCATAATTTTGAGGCGGAAGGATACAAGAGTTGAGAGGTTGGTTAGGTTGAAATGTAGGGTCCAAAATTGCATGTTTTCTTGTATCTACTTCCAGCTTCAAGGCTTGTGTATCTCAAGTTTTTCATGAAGAACCTCATACTTGCTTTTGGGCAATAGGTTTCCACATGTTGCTCCATCTGTGGTAGAAAGCCTTCTACCCAACAAAAATTTGGGAAAAAGTTAGAGCCAGTCTAAGATACAAGAATTGCACATTACTGGATTTTAAACAAATTCGTGCGAAATATTTTGATATAAGTTTAAATAAGAATTGTGGGTAAGGGTAAGGTTCCTAGCCCTTACCCTAACCCTGGTATCAAAATATTTCGCACGATTTTGAGGATCCAGTATTGTGCACGAGAATTAACATTAAAGTCAATGGGGAAATCTTTAGTGATCTGGGCAATATAAGTCACGTGACAGCTGGCGTCTCCGCAGTTGGTATTGACATTATAAATATCTAATCTATTTATAACTTCTGGGTTTGCCCTTTTTCTTTTATCATCCTAGTCCAAGTGCGTTCCAGGCGTCAGTTTTTTTAGGTGTCAAAGTAGAAATATTATGCATAAAAATTATAATTGTTACCTAAATCCTGCTAATGCTAACTGTATTTGTGATTTCTTCGACCTCCAGTTGCTGTTGCTGAAAGAATTGAGCCTCTGTTGAAGCTTGTTGCAGCTGTCAATTTCTGTCTGCTTACTTTGTAATCTATGTAATTTCTGTACAGGAGTCGGTGCCATTGTAGCAGTTCCATATTGTGTTGTGTTTTTAGCCATGTCTAAGTATAAAAACAAATAAACAATAATAGTAAGTTATTATTCACATAGATCTAATAATCCCAGCAAATGCCCTCGTCTCCGTAGTCTTTAACCCACCTCAAACTTAGGCTGCCTATCTACAGCTAGCTCCGGCTGAGAATTCTGGGAAGTATGAGTCGCTGCGTGCGTAACCGAGCTGTCGCACCCTGAACAGGAAGTGAACTATTTTATTAAAATCGGACAACTAAATTATTTAAATATTTACAGTTGAAGAAAAAACAAACAGTTCAGGGTATTGGTGCGGGGGGGGGGGCTGTAAAATATGTAAGAACCAATATTATCCATCGAGCTAACTTACTTACTTAGTGTATAGAAATAATAAAAAATTTAAAGCGCGCAGTAGTCCTACACACCGAACCATTCGGCAAACCTCATTAGTTACCGTAATCAGCCTTTATAACCGACTGACACCGAATGTCATAACCGCGTGCAATGGATAAATTGTCTCAACATGCCGATTGGTTATAATTTTAGCATCGCTTGGTTCTATATATGGAAAGGGGATTTCCAATTTAAAGCTGGACTCCGATTACAAAAGAGAAAGAGGGAAATGGGGTTTAACGTCCACTCGACACAAACTAGGTCATTTCGGTACTGACATATGGTTCAATTTTATTTCATTATTAATTCGCTTGTGCGTAGGTGTCTTTAGCAGTGGGAGGAAACCGAGCTCGACCCGGAGAAAACCCACGAGGTTGGACAGGCAAGCCTAATCCTTGCCTTGTAACTAGTTGCGCACCCCTGAGAACACACCCGCACCCCCCTCGTTGCTCTGAGCTACTTAGGCCTATTGGTCTTAAAGGTCTATTTAAAAGAGGCTATCCGATTAAATCATTAAAAATATAAATAATTTTAAAAGATAAATTATATTATGTAAGCCTTGGATTAAAGAGCTCGCTAACCATTCTTGCCACAAAAGCTCAAAAATGGATAATGTAAAATGAAAATATTGAGAATTTGATTCAAATTACTCTATTCTGAGCCAAGTTATCACCGTGTGTATAGTTTTGACAAGATGTGTGCATTGTGGTAACCAGGGCACTGGTATATTCGAGACTTAGCCTCGCTTTCCCATTTTTAAATATGGCGAACCGTTCTAATCTAGTTAAAATCTCGAGTATCCGATGGCATCGAGAGTTGATTTTGGTCTTGTTTTGTTTATAAGTGCCTTATTAACAATTTAAGCCCCGTTTACATGACGAAATTTGCACACGTGAAAATCTTTTGCATATATGCAAAATTACTCATGCAAAATTACTCATATATGCAAATTTCGTCATGTAAACGCATTTGCATACATGTGTAAAAATACTGCAGGTGCAAATTTGCACCTAGTCTTGACCAGATGCAAAAGTATATTTGCATATATGCAAAAGTATTTAGGGTAAGTATTTGTGCAGATTGTGTCATATAAACACTCGGCAATATTTGTATATGTGTGTATATCTCATTATCAGTTGCATCATCGCTAAATATATGATGTTGAGTGGGTTTTGGGTAAAACAAATACGTCATTAGTAGTCTGAATAGTCAGCAACATGTCTAGAGGTAAAGTCGCGGAATCGCATGGGATGATGAAGCAACTAGGGCTTTGATAAGTATTTGGCTTGAAAATAGTATTGAGCATCAATTAGAGGACCCAACTGTAAATAATGGGAGCATTTATAAAAGTTTATCAACAGAACTGTCTGAGAAAGGCTTTGAGAAAACCTCTGATCAATGCAAGGTAAAAATTCATACACTTAAAAGAATTGAAAGGTTCTTTGACGACGAATCCTTGCTATCCGCTCCATGACTAAATGGCATCTAAACACTTTATTACATATTTACTGTGAATGCTTATATAACATGTGAACGCTTAGCAAATATACTTTTGCATACGCGAGTAATTAATATATGCAAATATGAATATGTGTATTATTTGGTCATGTAAACGGGGCTTTAGATAACATTTAAGGTCTAAAGATCGACCTGCAGGCATATTTAGCTTTTAGCCTACATAATGCATGTTTAACACAAAGTAGGTCCTACATAAAATAGTAAGTCTAGGCCTACATAAAAGTAAGGTCTAACTGAATAATTATCAATTTAAAGCGTGTAAAAATAAACGGGTAGCTGAATTTACACAACAAAACAAATAGGCTACCGAATTTAGCGTAAATAGCCAAATTTCTAACTCAATTATTTTATATTATTTATTTATAAATTGAAATCAACATTGATGTTGTGATCTTACCGCGAAAAGATGGGCTTTTAATATCCATTATTTAAGACAAAATAAACATTTTACCATTGGTACACCTTCGTGTACCATAATGCGTATCAGCGTCATTTGTAACAAGGGACTTAAAGAACGAGGCTAGACATTTTCCGCAACTCATGTCAAACGGTGACGTCATATTCTTATCTGGAGCATACGGAATAAATACTATCGGTGTAGAATGGAATAACCAGACGCCAGAGATTGCCATTCTATTGCAACTCTTGGCGTATTTCGCCGAACATTATTTGAGGGTGCTTGTCAATCGAGGCTGACCAAGTCCAAGCCAAATTCTGATCGATTTATGGTACTTGTGACCATGATTCAGCCCGAGGGCGCTGTACCTCAAATTGAAATTGCGTGTTCACCGAGAAATCTCTTGGAGCCTCACCCCCGCTGACGCACACACACACCCGCTCACAAACACACCCACATCCAAAGTGTACCTAATCGCAATTCGATAGTGAACAATGGGAGTGGTCATGTGTAGGTCTATAGTCATTATGTAGCAATTCGGGAAGTGTGAACGAACCTATATGAACAGGTATAGGTTGTAGATTAAAACAAGTTCATAATGTTCGTCATCTGACATATTTATATTATTATGTTTCCCACAGTGTCACCGAGCAGAACTTTGTTTTGTTTTTTTGTTTGTTTGGAGTTTCACAACATTTAATTTACACATTTAAATGTGGGCGTGTTATAGAATTAATGACTTTGTTTATTGAGTGGGTTACAACATTGATTTGCATGTAAAGGAATATAAAATGTTTCGTAATAATAAATTACTTTATAATAACACAATTTTTAGTAACAATACTTGGTAATAATAACTTACTTCGTAATAATGATAAATGAAATGAAATGGGGTTTAACGCCCCACCGTTCTGCTCCTACTGGGCTAATGAAGACGCGAGCATGCGCCATACAGTGTGTTATGAGGGAAATTTGGCCCGGACAGCGGCACTATGGCCTACTCTTATATCGAATTCCAACAGCCAAGGGATCTTTTACGTGCATGCCAATGTATACACGGGACCTCGGGTTTTCGTCCCATCCGAACGACTAGACAGCTGTCCTTGTCAGACCCTCCACCCTGCACCACTGTCCGACTACAGGTGCTAATGAAGACAGACATACACCATACAGTTTGCCATGAGGGAAATCAAATTCCAACTATCTAAGGTTCTTTAACGTACACGCCAATATGAAAGCGGGACGTCGGTTTTTCGTCCAACCCGAAAGACTATACGTTGTCCTTGCATCACTGGCAAGGAGGAATCACGCTGGAAATCCCGATGGACTTTCTCAGCCAACGCAGGGATCGAACAATGATAGATTATGTAAAATAAAATATTATCTGAGCGTATACCCGTTTCAAATCAAGATTATTGTTCAAAATTACAAACCTAGTAAGGCTTATAAATATATTGTAAAATATATTTAAAAATAATAAATAAATAAAAACATCTGCGCGTATACAGTTTAGATATAGAGCAACCTACGAACGATTTTGTAAAATATATTTCAAAAACCTACCTGTCTGTCTTTTAAAAACCTTGTTGTTCATATCATGCGCTATATCATACCGACAGCCCATTATGTTTCGTTTGGCTGCTTAGCTCAATGTAAGTTCTATTTATATAAATATAGAGAAAATTCTGGAATCCCACTTCTAAAAATAACTCATTTATCGTATCCGCGTTTTGCCCTATTTAACTATAGTGTCAGACGTAAATAAAAACGTCTTTCATAGAAAACTGAAATTTTTAATTAGTCAATGAATATACAACTAAAAGGAAGACATAGTTCTGTTAACAACACCTTGCCTCTTAGTATTACAATTACAATTTCATAGTTGTTTAAATATGCCTATGTAAGAGTTTACAGGCGTAGTTTAGTATGGAAGTCAAACAGCTCTTTATTCAGTATTCTTAATTCTTAGTTCTTAATTCATAGTCCTTAATTCTTATTTGTTCATTTGTTGTCGTATTTCGACATTTGTACATTAAAATTAACATTTGTACACTAAAATTAACATTTGTACACTAAAATTAACATTTGTATCTTCAAATCAATATTATTTGTTTTACAAATTAGACATTTGTCATATCAGATTTGTAAAATGTATTTTTGTTTAATTTAATTTTATTTTAATATAAAGATAAAATTTTTTTTAGTAAATCCAAAAAATAATCTACATTTACATTTCATCAAAGACATAACGAAAAACAAATCTCGAACAACAAATTTCTAAATACAAATCTCCAAATTCGCCTGAGGTCGAAATTCATCCGGGGCCCAAATTCGCCCGAGGCCCAAATTCGTCCGTTGCCCAAATTCGCCCTGGTCCCAAATTCGATGATCTAAAACATTCACGGGGTCGTGCTGGTTAATTTGATACCACATACATGTGGGGGTGGATCGCGGCGACGATGCGTGATCCCCCCCCCCCCGTCGCCATTCCCCCGACGCCCCCCCCCCCCCACAGAGATATCTTTGATGTTATTTAAGTAGATTATAGCAAAACGAGAAATCCATTCAGAAATCCAATCGATGCAGAATTGTTCAAAGAAGATGCATGCCAATTTTCGATCGGACTTGAACTGGCGGAATACAGCGGTTAGCGACCTGGGCCCTGTTTCACGAAATTTTAACTAAGATAAATCCAAATTTTAGTAGATACTTCAATTTTGATTGGCTAAGCACTAAA